CCCCCCCCCCCCCCCCCCCCCCCCCCCCCGCAGTTCTCACACGATCAAAAGCAGCATTGTGTGTTGCGTCCAGCGATGCCAGTCCCAATAATTTTGTTACGCTGTCGGTCAGCACTTGTTGTTTCATGGCCTCCCTTTGTTGAATCTCTCTATTCTTCAACCCCTCCCGTGAGATCCAACCTTTGAATTCAATATATGATGGTACCCAGTTCGAATTGTACCCTGCACCACTGCCCGCGTCGCCAGATCCATATCTAGTCGATCCGCTTGTGCAAGGTTGAGCGCCTCCGTTCTTTAAATTCTGGATATCTGCTTGGGCCTGTTTCATTTGCCCCGATAATGTTTTGACATCCGTCGTTGTTTCATCCATCTTTTGCCCCATAACATGCAAGTCCGATAGAACCGATGCTTTGAACTCACTGACTGTCGCCGTTACTTCGCTCTGGCCCTTCAAAATTTGTCTGAACATTTCCTCGGGCGCCATTGTAGCTGGTTGGGGCGCCTGGACAGCAGCATTCGGAGCTACGGCCAGACCACTCGCAGCATTGGGGACTTGGGCTGTAGCTAGATGAGGCGCCAAGACAGCAGCATCAGGAGCCGCGGCCAGACCACTCGAAGCACTGGAACCCTTGCCCGCCCCTTTCGCCCTCACCTCTCTCAACCACTCACTGCTAGCATTCCCTCCCATTTTGCTATCATCCATTTTGTCATCCGCCATCGTTGCTGATGATCGTCGTTTACTTTTAGCTTTCACTGTCCGCAATGTGCGAAGTGCGGCACGGTATCTGTCTGATTGACCAATCTTCTTGAAATCGTACGCCCCCCGTTGAACAAATGTTTCTGGTGGGGGAATTTCCAATTCCAGCGCAATCTGATCTTCTCTCTTTTCTTGCGTAATTAATCGCGGCACTGCACCTGATGTATCGTTCAACCAATCACAAGGATGTGGGTCACAATCAATACCAAAGTCAGCTGATGTGAGATGGTCCCTATGATCGTCGTTCGATGGCAAAATATACGCTCCCTGAGAGTCCGTTTTCAATCCAACAGCCCACAGCGGTCTCCTGTAAAATCCAGACAGATATTGATCTTCCTGCGACCCCCACGATATTGTGATGTCCAGGGCAAAGGCGAAGAATCAATGTGAACACAGCCCCCGCGACACGCCAAACACGTGCCGCACGAGAGGGGGGCTTGAGACTAGCCTGTGTGCGTGCCCTGACGCGGGCCCTGCTCGACGTCTGACCCTGACGTCTTGAACCCTGACGCCTTAAACCCTGACGTCTTGAGCCAAGAAAAACTGCGACACTCGTTGAGCTGTACAAGAGTACAAGACAAGGACGCGGGTAAGGACCTCCTCTGAGGCAAACAAGTGACCTTCTTTGAGGCAACAATGTCAGAGGTTTACCTGAATATAAAGTCAATGATTCACACCAGGCCGCTATACACATCTCACGCCGCCGCTGCAAATGAAGCGAAGGGCAACGAGAGAGAGCTTCACAGACAAAGAATCAATCACCGCATGCATGAGTTGAGCACAGTACAGACACACGATGCATCACAGACTACCGCGGATCCAGGCCAAACGCCTCCTCCGCGATCGGAACAAACTTGAACTTTACCATGTCGTCATCGAAAACTCGCATGATTTGTAAAGAGTAACGATCAGAAGTAACCTCGCGACATCGCTACGATTGTAGCGAAATGCACACGTGAGAAAACTCAAGATCAGAAACGCCTCCGTCGAATAACCCACGGATCGTGATGAACGTTTCATCTGAATAATCACAAACTTGCATGAATTGAGACGAGTACAACACAGCATGAGGTCACTCCGTCAAGTCCAACAGGGGCCCACAACACCAGCTCTACGTCACATTGCATTTTGAATTGCACGTCCCCTTGTCATCATCGAAAACTTGCATGGCTTGTAAAAAGTGACGATCCGAAAGATCAGATACGCCACCGTCGAATAACCCACGGATCGCGATGAATGTTTCACCTGAATAATCACAAACTTGCATGAATTGAGAAGAGCACAACACGGTAGGAGGCCACTCCGTCGATTCCGACGGGGGCCCACAACACCAGCTCTACGTCTCATTGCATTTTGACTTGAATGTTTTCTTGTCATCATCGAACTTGCATGAATTGAAAAGAGAAACGATCAGACGTAACCTCACGCCACCGCTACAATTGCAGCGAAATGCACCCGCGAGAAAACTCAAGATCAGAGACGCCTCCGTCGAATAACCCACGGATCGCGATGAATGTTTCACCTGAAAAAAAACCATCAACTTGCATGAATTGAGAAGAGCACAACACAGCACGAGGCCACTCCGTCGATTCCAACGGGGGCCCACAACACCAGCTCTACGTCTCATTGCATTTTGATTCGAACGTCTGAATAGTCACAAACTTGTATGAACTGAGAGGGGTACAACACGGCATGAATATCGCACACAACCACACCTCCGACACGTGAGCTGATGATACTCTCTCCAATAATCTCATTCTAGCTTTTGCGCTTCCAACTGCTAGATTTGGGAACTGAAACGGGGAGCTGATTATGAGAAGCATGAGGATTGTAAGAGAAATGCATGTCGTGACTTTCCTGAGACCACTCACTCCGCCGGGGCCCTCGTAAAGCTCTCAATACGCTAATTTGTGATGAGATTACGAGGAAAAGCTCTCTCGAATATCAGCTTGAAAAATCGCGGGATGTATTTTTGGGGGAGTCATACGAAGTCGGTTCCCCCTAGCGTTTCGATAGTAATACTGCAGCTACAGACCTGAGAATTTGACTGGCAGACGCGGCATAATTCACTACTGGCGCGAAAAATACCGGCCCTCCAAACGAACGGTCAAATCTCTCAATCCCCCAAAACCGACACAAGGGCACCACATTGTCGACCCGGGCCGGGCAAGCTAATCGTAGAGCTTCCTTGCGAGCGCGGCAATCCTGCATTCAGCCCGCGCGAGGGTGCGCGGTTTCATGGACATGTGCTGGACAGTCCCTGGCTTGTCCACAACTCAAGTTCAGTCGGGACAAACACCCACGCAATAAATTACCATGTTGAACAGATGTCTCCAGAATATGAAAATATGAAGAAGGTCTCACCACGTGTAGAGCATGCGAGCTTGGTAGCTGTTTGCACGGCACCATTATTTGTTTCCTCGCAGCTCTGGTAGCAGACCGATCTCAGCCGTCTAAATGCTATATATAGATTAGCGCTTTTAAACATTTCCTGTCAGCCCGTGTATATCCCAGTTCCGTAGCTACCCTACAGCTCGAGGTAAGTACAGAAAGTAAACATCATTTCTCACCAAAAAAATGCAGAGTGCGAATAAGTGTAGTAGCAAGTAGCAGACCAACTTCAGACGTCTCGATACTGTAGGCTATGTGTATCACGATTTCCTGTTGCACGGTGTGGTTGCCAGCTCCCTAGCTTGCATACAACTCAAATCTAATGCACAAAAGTAGCACCGTCTCTCACAAATTTTGAAGGAGTGCAAATCATTATTAGGTCGCAGCTCAGGTAGCAGACCGATCTCAGCCGTCTAGATACTTTGAAACTGATGCTTCTCAGCATGTCATTTGATTGGTGTGCATCTGAGCACCGTAGCTGGCCTACAGCTCGAATAAAATTGAGGAAGCGGACATCCTCTTTCGAAGCAGATAATAAAAATAGAAATCCCCAGGCCGCAAGTTTTTCCTCCTGGGGTAAAAAATGGCAACATCAGCGAATCCAATTGGATCCACTTTTCGGGTGTGGGAGAGTTTCATGGATCCTAGTTCTGAGCTGCGCGGATCAAATTTCCTGCGCGTGGAAAAAACGACGGGTCCATGTATTCCCCGGGCATATATATAATGGCTAACATCCGGGACCCAGGGGACACTGGATCCGCGGAGCACCGCAAGAGAAGCATCATGCTATCCACGGAACTGTGGATCTGCAGACCAGTGCCATGATTCTACGGGGGGGAGGGCCTTCCCAGGATAAAAAAAAGGGAAGGATGCGGGAAGAGGCAAGAGGAGATGGAAGGAGAACAGAGGGGACGCAGGGGGGGAGAGAGTAGGAAGAATCAGTAGACGGGGGGAGGAGGAAGGAAAAGGAGGAGGATGAGGGAGGAGGAAGGAGAGAGGAGGGAGGCGGACGGACGATGGTGGGAGGAGGAGGGAGGAGGCGGGAGGAGGAGGGGGGAAGTGGGAGGGGGAGGAGAGGAAGGGATGGGGGAGCGCGAGGACAAACAAGCAAAGCGTCCAAGTCCAAGTCGGAAGCTCGAGCGCCACAGCGGGCCCGGCCACCCCCCTTCACTTCTCCCACAACATGTGGTTGCTCTCACCTGAATGGCGCGTGGCTTCCGACATGTGCAGCCCAAGAGGAAAATCTTTCGGCCTGCGGAAGTGGGATTTCGAACTGTGTCTCCCCCGCCAACACCCCTGCGTGGAAGGGCGAGATGGGTGATAAATATTTCGGTGGGCCTTGCGTGGAAATGCGAAAGTGGTGTTAAATCCTCACATCGTGGAATTCGAACTGCGCCTCCCCCGCCAACACCACTGCGTGGGATTCCGAACTGCGCCCCCCCCGCCAACACCCCTGCGTGGAAGTGCGAGAGGGGTGCTAAATCCTGCATCTTGCCGCGCCCGCATTGCACGAGGAAGCTCTGCGAGTTCCCGGCGGTAACCAAGGTTGACGGCTTGCCGCCGGCCCCCAGTCATAAGAAGCGCTCGTCTAAGGTATCTGGACACCTGATTTTGGTCTGCTACCAGAGCTGGGGTAGAAAAACTATTCGTACTCTGCTAAAATTTAGAAAGATGGTGGTACATTTCTTGAGGTAGCTCGAGCTGCGGAGGAGCTACAGAGCTGTTTAGCAGAGAACAGGCATACATTTATTGGGCGCGCTTTTTTCACGTATCCAGATGCCTGAATTCGTCATGATTTCAGAGTTGTAACAAAAAAACGATTCGTACTCTTAATTTTTCCAGAGATGCTTTCTCCTCAGTGCTTCTCCTCCTCCACGTCCTTCTCCATGAGACTGCGCCCTTGCGCGCGCAATGCAAGATTGCCGCGCCCGCATTGCACGAGGAAGCTCTGCTAGCTCCGGGCGGTAGCCCAGCTTGACGGCTTACCGTCGGCTGCCAGTCGATGTACCTCGTAGAGCTCTTCGGCAAGATGAGCTAAGAGAATTCGGGCGCAGGGTGGAGCTAGTTGGCAGACCCGACCTAAAGAGACAATGTGTGACTTCGGGGTCGGTTTTTGTATCTTTGTATAGAATTTGAAAACTCGTTTTCAGAACCGGTATTTCTATCACGTGTATTGGGTTATGTCGCACCTGCTAGTTCAATTCTCAGGTCCCTAGCTGCAGTATTACCATCAAAACACTTGAGGGAACCGACTCCGGGGGGAAAGAAACAAAAAAAAAAAAAAAAAATCCAAGTTTCGCAGACCTCGAGAAAACTTCTTCCATGTGTTCCAAGCAACGTCGCGCGAAGAGCTCTACGAGGCTGCTGGCGGTAACCTGGTTGACGGTTTACCGCCGGCTCCCAATGAAATTCTCAGGTCCGTGGCTGTAATATTGCTATCAAAACACTTGCAGGAACCGAGTTTGGATCGAAACCGAAAAACGTGTTTTCTTCGAGCTTTAAAGCTTATGATGAATAACGCTTAAACCATGTGTTCCGAGCAGCACTGCGCAAGAAAAGAATTTCATGAGGCTTCTGGTGGTAACCTGGTTGACGGTTTACCGCCGGCTCCCAGTCATATAAAGCCATAAAAAAAGTTTTATCGATTTTTCGAAATGATATCCGCGATCAATATTTCCTATTATCTGGGCACTGACTCGGTGTCTTCAGAGCTCTAGGAGAGTCCCGGCGATGACCTGGTTTACCGGTGGACTCCCAGTCTTTTTTTTTGATTTGTTAGAGTATCAGATAACTCGAAAAAGCTGATCCCGTCCGGACGCTTTTTAGCAAGGTACCCAATAGCTGTGACGGCGAGCCGCAATAAGATCAAATATCACGGGAAAGAATACCAGAGCTCACTCGTCAGAGCTCTAGCATTGTTTCCACCAATATTCGATCGTATTTCCGCTCGCCATCTTAATCTCAGCTCGATCGAGTGCCTATTGCTCCAAAAAGCACCCGGGCGGGATCGGCTGTTTCGTGTCTCGACAGGTGCTGTCGTCAAGCCGAGCCGTAGGATAGCTACAGAGCTGGTAGGCACACCTAATCGACCTAGAATCGTCAGATGCATGAGTCGAAAGCACCTAGACACCTAAACTCGGTCTGCTAATAAAGCTAGGTCCGCAAAACTATTCGTACTCAATTATTTCGGGAGATAATGATGAGTTTCTTGACTGAACTGGGAGCCGGCGGTAAACCGTCAACCAAGTTACCGCCTGGACCCTTCTAGAGCTCTCGAATCACGAATTAGCTTGGACGCCAAGAATGAATCTCAAGTAGATATTGGCTTAAGAAACGAATAGACAAGTTTTTCGTCATACGACATTATTCTGTCGAGCTTAGTTATTACATTACACTAAAATCTCTCAATCCAACACGCCGACATAATCTATTACGTGCAGAAAACACTGGAGTTGTGTAGCTCGCTTACCGCTACTGTAAAATGCACGAGATCATTATCGTTTTCGAAATGCGATTTCACAACCGACCGTGGCTCCACATTTTTTGACGGTAATATTGCAGCTACGGGCCCGAGCATTTGACAGGCGAAAGCGGCACAATCCACTCTACGTTACAAAAATAGTGGTTCCCAAAATGGGTTTCAAAATCTCCCCGGGCCGCCCGGGCCGGGTCGGCTCCGAACTGTTTAGAGATGGTGATGGTTTTGTTGACTGGGAGCCAGCGGTAAACCGTCAACCCGGTTACCGCCGGGATCCTCGTAGAGCTTTTTTCTGGCGCGACGCTGCTCGAAACACATGGAAGGAGCTTCATCTAGCGTTAGCCGAAAAGCTCGAACAAAAAGAAAAAATCAAAAGTCGTCTACGCCAAATATTTTGATTGCAATACTGTAGCTACGAACCTGAGAATTTCAATGGCAGACGCGGCATAACCAACTGGGAACCGGCGGTAAATCGTCAACCAGGTTACCACCGGGGCCCTCGTAGAGCTCTCTTCTCGCACGGCGCTCCTTGGAACACACGAAGGAAGCTTCTGGAGCGAGACCTGAAAAACTCGAAAAATCATGTTTTTCTGTTTTTATCTAACGTCGGTTGCTCCAAGTGTTTTGGTAGCAATACTGTACCTACGGGCCTGAGACTTTCACAGGCGCACGCGTCATAATCCACCAAAGGTGCGAAAAATCTGGTTTTTCAAAATGAATTGCCAAATATCTTTCAAATCTCAGCAAAACCGACCCAAAGTCATCATTTTGTCTCTTCTGGTCGGGTCGACCAACAAGCTCCACCCCGCGCCGGAATTCCTCTAGCTCATCGATAACGAAGAGCTCTACGAGGTACTAGAGGTGCGAAAAAAAACAGTCCTTGAAACACATGTTCAAATTTCTCACAATGTTGGCCCAACCGATCCAAAGTTCACACTTGGTAGTGTCCAAAACCCGGAGAGCGACTGGCGCCGGAAAATCTGCTTTCTCAAAATGAATAATTAAATATCTTTCAAAGTCACCATATTGTCCGTTCTGGTCGGGTCGGCCAACAAGCTCCGCCCTGCGCCGGAATTACTGGCGCCGGCTGTGAACCGTCAACCTGGTGACCGCCGGGAACCTCGTAGAGCTTCTTGCACGCATAAAAGTGCTGAGAATCGAAGCAGACAGCTTCTCGGAGTATTTCTAGGAAAACGTCAAATTTCATTTTTCGCTGTCAATATGATCTCGGTTCCTGCTAAGTTTTGGATAGTATAACTCTCTCAAGAAAGCTAAGCTGCTCTGAGAATGAAGTTCAGATTCTAATGCAGGCAGTACTGGGAACCGGCGGTAGACCGTCAACCAGGTTACCGCCGGGTACCTCGTAGAGCTCTTTTCTGACACGGCGCTTCTCGGAACACATGAACGAAGCTTTTGAAGCGAGAGCCGAAACACTCGAAAAATCACGTTTTTCCTGGTTTTATCCAACGTCGGTTGCTCCAAGTGTTTCGATAATAATACTGCACCTACGGGCCTGAGAATTTAACAGGCACACGCGTCATAACCCACTGAAGGTGCGAAAAATCTGCTTTCTCAAAATGAACGGTCAAATATCTTTCAAATCTTCGCAAAACCGACCCAAAGTCGTCAGATTGCCCGCCCGGGCCGGGTCGACCAACTAGCTCCACTCCGCGCCGGAAGTCCTCTAGCTCATCGATAACGAAGAGCTCTACGAGGTAAATCTGGTTTCTCAAAACGAATGGCCAAATATCTTTCAAATCTTGGCAAAACCGACCCAAAGTCACCACATTGTCCGTCGGGGCCGGGTCGCCCAACTGGGCGCCGGCGGTAAACCGTCAACCTTTCTTACCGCCGGGAGACTCGTAGAGCTTCCTTGCCATATATTATGTTCAAAGAATTGGCAGAGAACGAATAGTTTTTCAGCCTCAGCGCTGATAGCAGACTGATCTCAGACTTCTAGATATATTTCACTTGCCCCTTACGAATCCCTTCCCATTGCTGTGCTGAACAGCTCTGTAGCTCATCTGCAGCACAAGTAAAACCAAGAAAAGCAACATCATTTCCAAGAAGTAGCAGAGTACGAATCGATGTTCAGCCCTAGCGCCAATAGCAGACTGAGCGCGGATGTCTAGATACTTTCAAATAGCGCGCATGACGATGATCTTCCCATTCCAATGCCTCAGAGCTCTCCAGCTCATCTGCACCTCGAGTTCAGCCCAGGAAACAAATTCCATCACAAAAAAATCGAGGAATATGACTAGTTATTTGGCGTTTGTTCTCATTACAGACCCAAGCCAAGTGTCTGGATACTTCGACTAGCGCGCCTCATGGTTTTTTCTGATTTATGTGCGGGAGAGCTCTCGAACTCATCTGCAGATCGAGTTAAGTGAAGAAATTCACCATGATTTCGAAAGAGAATCGGTCGAATATAAATAGTGTTGCGAACCTAACTCGAGTACAAGACTGAGTTCAGACCTCTAGATGCAACAGACGAGCGCGCCTGGTGATTCAGAATCGATTCGTTTGCGTACCAGCTCTGTAGCTTCCTACGTGTCGAGATAAGTTCAGAAAACCGACAGCATCTGTCAAGATGACTCGACCAAGCTCGAGTAGCAGACCAAGTTCAGACCTCTAGATGCAACAGATGAACGCGCCTGATGATTTTGAATGGGTTTCTGTAAGTATCAGCTCTGTAGCTGTCCTACGAGTTAAGTCCAGAAAACCGACAGCGCCTGACAAGATGACTCGAATAATACGAATAAGTTCGCCTAGCTCAAGTGGCGGACCGAGTTCAGACCTCTAGATGCAACAGATCAACGCGCCTGATGATTTTGAATGGGTTCTGTGAGTATCGGCTCTTTAGCAGTCCTACAGCTCGAGTTACGTACAGAAAACCGAGAACACCTGTCAAGATGACTCGAATAATACGAACAGCTTCGCGGACCTAGCTCGAGTAGCAGACCGAGTTCAGACCTCTGGATGCAACAGACGAACGCGCCTGATGATTCTGAATCGATTTCTGTAAGTATGAGCTCTGCAGCTGTCCTATAGCTCCAGTTAAGTACAAAAAACCGAGAACGCCTGTAAAGATGACTCGAAACAGCCGATCCCGCCGGAGTGCTTTTTGGCAGTCAAAGGTACCCGATCGAGCTGAGATCAAGACGGCGAGCGGAAATAAGATTGCATATCATCGGAATAAATACTAGAGCTCAAACGAATTGTTAAATTTCGACAACAAAATTTGGAACCGAGCAAAGAACATCAAAAGGTCCGTCGAGATTTTTCTTGCCAACTAGCTCTCCAGCGCTCGAACTGGGAGCCAGCGGTAAACCGTCAACTAGGTTACCGCCGGGAGCCTCGTAGAGCTCTTGTCTGCATGGCGCTGCTGGGAATACGGGAGAGCTTCCTTATGTGCTGAAAAACTTGAAAGAAATACATGTTTGAGATTTCTTTGATCTTTGAAAAGTAGGTTGCTTCAAGTGTTTTGATAGTAATACTGCAGCTACGGACCTGAGAATTTCACTGGCGGACGCGGCATAGCGAAAAATACCATTCATTGAAACGAATGTTCAAATATCTTACAATGTTTGCTTAAACCGTCCAACGTTCCCACATTGTCCGTCGGGGCCGGGTCGGCCAACTAGCTGCATCCCGCGCCGGAATTCCTCTAGCTCATCGATGCCGAAGAGCTCTAGAGGCACTGGCGCCGGCGGTGAACCGTCAACCAGGTCTCCGCCCGGAACCTCGAGAGTACTTAGATTCAAAGCAGAGAGCTTATCGGAGCATTTCTAGAAAACGTCGAATTCCCATTTTTGGTTATCAACTTGATCTCTGTTGCTGCTAATTTTTCGATGGTAAAACTGGCTCTACAGAGCTAAAATAAATATATATATATATATATATATATATATATATATATATATATATTCCAATGCTTGGCGTACAAATCTACTCAAAATGAATGTCAAATATTTTTCGAAAAACAGCAAAACCGACCAAAGTTACCACTTTGTCTCTTCTGGTCGGGTCGACCAACTAGCTCCACCCCGCGCTGGAATTCCTCTAGCTCATCGATCACGAAGAGCTCGTATACGCTTAAGCTTCCAGCAACTAGCTGAGGGAAGCTCTACGAGTTACTTGGTAGCATCCAAAACCCGCAGAGCGAAGAGAGCACTGGCGCCGGCGGTGAACCGTCAACCTCGTCACCGCCGGGAACCTCGTAGAGCTCCTTGCACGCGTGAGAAGGCTCATATCCGAAGCAGACAGCTTCTGTGAGCATTTCTAGAAACGTTAAATTTGCACTGTTTGGAGTCAGCGTCATGTCGGTTCCTCCAAATGTTTCGCTAGTAAAACTCACTCTAGAGAGCTGAGCTGCTCTCAGAACAAAGTTCTGACACTAATCTTCGGAGTGAAAGCTGCTTTCTCAAAAAAAGGTCAATATCTTCAAATCTTAGCAAAGCCGACCTAAAGTTGCCATATTGTCCTGTGTGGTCGGATCGGCCAACTAGCTCCACCCCGCGCCGGAATTCCTCTAGCTCATCGATGACGAAGAGCTTTACGAGGTACTCCTCTCGAGCGCTTCTCAAGCGCTACCAGGCACGCTTCCACGCGCGCCTGCACGCGCGCAGGCACGCGCGGGCGCGGGCCCGAACCTCTCCCGGACAAGCTGCCGGCACCAGCGCGTTGCTGCGAGGATCGTGGAGCGGCGGAGGTGGGCTGCTGGCGGGCACCACCATCGCCCGGCTTCTAATCTAAAACCCTATGGCTCTCAGGAAGCTCTCCGGAAACTAGCTGCACCCTGCGCCCAAATTCCTCTAGCTCATCGTTGACGACGAGCTCAACGAGGCACTCTAGCTCATCGATAACGAAGAGCTCTTCGAGAGAAGAGACCCTCGGGGGCAGGACATCTCTCCTAGAAAGCCCGCGGGGGCTCTCCGGAAACGCTTCTAAAGCGCTGCCAGGCACGCTTCCGTGCGTGCCTGCACGCGCGCAGGCACGCGTGGACGCGCGCCGGAGAGGCACCCGGACCCGCTGCGACCTTTTACGAGTTGCTGCTGGGATTCTGGACCGGCGAAGATGGGCTGCTGGCAGGAACCACCACCGTCCGGCTTCTAATCGAAAACCCTCTAGCTCTCAGAGAGCCCCCCGGGAAGATTGCCCGTTGGGGCCGGGTCGGCCGACTAGCTGCACCCCGCGCCGGAATTCCTCTAGCTCATCGAAGCCGAAGAGCGTTGCGTGGCACTTAACTCGAGCTGGAGATGCGCTACGGAGCTCTTTGGAACAGCAATCAGAAGACAACTTGGTAGCGTCCACTTGGTAGCGTCCGAAACCCGGAGAGCGACTGGGAACCGGCGGTAAACCGTCAACCTGGTTTTTGAGTTTGAGTTTGAGTCAGGGCGCGGACAGCTGCGACAGCTGAGCCCTAAGACTCCCAAACGGAGCACAGGGTAGCTAGAGAAGGCACCTCTTATCATCACACTGCCGAGCCACTGAGGCATAGGCATCGGAATAGGATGCAGGAACAAGGAAAAGGATGCAGCACAACATGTGAGAATGCAAAGGTGTTGGAACAGGTTAGAGAATGGTGTAAGAGCTGGTTGAAACGCTACCCAAAACGTGTTCCACGGCCATACAAGGCCGTTTTACTGCATTGATCAAAGCAACAGCCGATCAGCAGCATATACTTCCACAGACCGCCCTCCAACGAAGAAACCGTGGAGGCCGACTAGTTCATGTTTACGTTGTATATCCAGCGCCAGGCGCCAGTTAAGGCCACAGTTAAGGCCAAAAGGTTACACAAAGGTTCCTAATGTGGCTCTGCAAGCGTTGTTCCATCAACCGTTGAGCACCACTTGAGTAGAATGTCAAGCACCGCCAATGTCCGAAGCACCACCCTGCAATACGGTGCATCCTTATCTTGTCCAACCGACACAGCCCACAGGTTCTCTGGATGTCCGCGCCCTCCTCCCCATCACGGCGCAAAGCCTCACAGAAACGTTGCAGAGCAGCCTGCTTCAAGTAAAAATTTGCCCTCACTCGTTGGGTGGCCTTATTATCCCATGCGTGGGAGGCCGCATCCGAATCAGCGTCCTCATCGCACTCTGATTGATAGTTATGCAACTCATCCACCTCCGTCTCCTTGTCGCCTTCGGATAACAAGTGCACAATTGGGGCGGGTAGAGCGGAAGAAACTGAATCGTGAAAAGAGGACGGAGGTTGGGGAGGATCGCAAGTAGATTGATGGGCCGACTTTGACATAGAAGAGCCAGTTAGAACTGCCTGAGCCTTCGCCCTTGCCCGCCTCCTGTTTCTGCGGTGCCTCTGGCCTTTCCCACGGCCAGCATCCCCCTCAGGAGTCGGCGCCTCCTCGGGACTCTCAATTCCCATTCGAAGTTTGCATGCCTTGAGCGCCTCGATCCGAGCATGAAACTCATCTTTCGGGAGCCGTTCGAATTCCCGCCAAAGAGCAACTGCATCGCCATTGGCACGGGCCCAGTCCCTGGCAGCCTGACACTCAGATCGATTGCTCTGCAACTCATCTGAACAGAGCCGGGAAGAAGATGCACAGTTATCTTTACGCTGGTCAACTTCGCACTCTCCGCGGGTTTTCGAGGATGCCAACGGCAGCGCCTCGGGGCCTCCACCTTCCCTTTGCACTCGAGAATAATCCAAAAGAACTGAGTGCAGAGAATAATCCAAAGGAGCTGAGTGCCAAGAATAATCCAAAGGAAATGCGCGCAGCACAGCATCATTTGATTGAGAAGCAAGCGACGCTTCTTCAGCAGCAACTGCCGTAGAACTCTCCACAGATTCAACATGAACATTCTCCTCCTCCTCGTCCTTGAAACCCTTAAGATCCCCCTGCCAATCCTTTCCATGGCGAGCCGGGTCTGCGTCAGAAGCTGAAGTGTGGCACACTTCAGAGCGTGAAGCCATATAATATGTATGATGAGAATAATGCAACTGCTCATTCAGCAACTCCTCATTCTGCAACCCCACATCCTGCAACTCCTCATCATGCAACTCCTCTTTCAGAACACCTGGGTCAACAGCGGGAACATTTGAATCGGGAACATCATGATGTGACGAAACCTCCTCCTCCTGTCTCTGCGAATAATCAGACCCAGCCGGCGACCAAAGGTTATGCGAATCAACATAAGCAACTTCAGCAATCAGATGCAAGTCCGATTTCTTGTCTTTCTCACTGGTCTTCGGCTCTGGCACCGATAAGGAACTCAACAATATATTGACCTGCTCCTCCCAGTTCCCCTGAAACGGGCATGGGTTTCGCGCACAATCATCGAGGTTATCAAACCAGCAAAACGCGGGAAAGGTATTCGGATCAGCCACAAAATATGGATCACGAGCATTAAACTGCATAACATCAAATACAGCTTGTCTACAAATCACCAGTTTGATTCTCCTCGTTTTTCTTTTCCAACTGGTCGAAACAGAACTCATCGAACAAAATTGCGCTGTCATGATGCCGCTCAAGGAAGGGGCACGCAAGAACAACTGATCAGACAGAGAAATCAATCCAACGCCGACAGATCACCCGTTGGGTACACAGAGATGTACGAGGGAAGCGAAATCTGGCGGGGCAAAATCTCCTGTCCGCACGATGCGGCTTGAGCCACTTTTCTTGAGCCAAAATGGCTTGAGCCAAAATGGCTACGGAACTCGTAGAGCTCTTTCCTTGCACGGCGATCCTCGGAACACATGAAGAAAGCTTCTGGAGCGAGAAACGAAAAACTGTGAAAATCACGCTTTCCTGTTTTTATCCAACGTCGGTTCCTCCAAGTGTCTTGATAGTAATACTGCACCTACGGACCTGAGAATTTGACTGGCAGACGCGGCATAACCCACTACAGGTGCAAAAAATCTGCTTTCTCAGAATAAATGGTCAGATGTTCTTGAAATCTCAGCAAAACTGGGCGCCGGCGGTGCACCGTCAACCTTGCTTACCGCCGGGGGACTCGTAGAGCTTCCTGACCATATATTATGTCAAAAATAGCAGAGAAAGAATAGCTTTTCAGCCCGAGCTATTTCAGACCTCCCGATGCAACAGCCGAACGCCCCTGCTTCTGGTTCGTTTTCTGTGCGCACCAGCTCTGTAGCTCTCCTACAGCCCGAGTTCAATACAGAAAAGGGACAGCATCTGTCAAGCTGACTTGAAGAATACGAATAGTTTCGGACCTAGCCCGAGTAGCAAACCCAGTTCAGACCCCTGGATGCAACAGACGAACGAGCATGATGATTTCGAATCAGTTTCTGTGCGTATGAGCTCTGTACCTCTCCTACAGCCCGAGTTACATGCGAAAATCGACAGCACCTCTCAAGATAGCTTCGCGAAACTAGCTCGAGTAGCAGATCGAGTTGAGACCTCACGATTCAACAGACGAGCGCGCCGAATCATTTTGCATCGGGTTCTGCGCGTATCAGCTCCGTAGCTACCGTAGAGCTCGAGTTAAGCACAGAAAACCGACAGTCTCTGTTGAGATGACTCGAGCGATACGAACAGTTTTGCGGACCTGGCTCGAGTAGCAGACCTCTGCATGCGACAGACCCACGCGCCTGATGTCTCCGAATCGATGTATGTGATTACCAGCCCTGTACCCGCCCTACAGCCCGAGTTAAGTGCAGAAAACCGACAGCACCTCAAGATGACTCGAACAATAGGAATAGATTCGCGGACCTAGCTCGAGCAGCAGACCGAGTTCAGACCTCTGGATTCAACAGATAAATCGGTTTCTGTAAGTATCAGCTCTGTAGCTGCCCTATAGCTCGAGTTCAGTCAAAAAAAAAAAGAAACGACAACACCTGCCGATCCCGCCCGTGTGTTTTTTGGAAGTAAAAGGTAACCGATCGAGCTGAGATCAAGACGCCAAGCGGGAATAAGATCGAATATCATCGGAAAAAATACTAGAGCTCAAACGATTTGTTGAATTTCGAGAAGGAAAAAATTTCAACCGACCAAAAGTCAGCAAAAGGTCTGTCGAATTTTCTCTTGCCAACTAGCTCTCCAGCGCCCCGGAATTACTCTGAAGCTTCCAGCAACTAGCTAAGGGAAGCTCTACGAGTTACTCACCCAAAGTTATCACATTCTCTGTTCTCGTCGGGTCGACCAACTAGCTCCAGCCCGCGCCGGAACCTGTTGTCGAAAACCCGGATAGCCAAGCGAGAGACGCGCGCGCACCGGTCTCGTCGCGCAAACGTGCGTGTTGGCGCTGGAAAGCTTGTCTGGCGAATTGCTGATGCCGAGAGCGACGCTTCCACGCGTGCCTGCACGCGTGAAGGCATGCTGTCTGGGGTGCTTCGCGAGGCCTCTGGCACACATTCTTCGGGAAAGTATTGGAACAGGCGGAACCTGGAGCGGTGGGCGGAAGGGCGCGGCGCACGCGCGCCCGCCGGCTTCTCTTCTGACAACCCTATCTAGCCCAAGAGGCTATCCGGGAACAAGGAGCCGGCGGTAAACCGTCAACCAGGTTACCGCCGGGACACTCGTAGAGCTCTGAACAGACCAAGTCGATTCCGAGATAACAGCAGGAAAACGCTTCTCAATACCAGCTTGAAAAATAACTAAAGACGGGCACCTCCACCGTCCGGCTTCTAATCTTAAACCCTATAGCTCTCAGAGAGCTCTCCGGGAATCTTCCCTAGAAAGCTCTGCGGGGCCCCCCATGCAGCGCTTCTGAAGCGCTACCAGGAACGCTTCCACGCGTGCCTGCACGCGTGCAGGCACACGCGAACGCACGTCGGAAGCGCCCCCGAACCCGCTGCCGGCTCGAGCGAGTTGCCGCGAGGATCGCGGAGCGGCGGAGGTGGGCTGCTGGCGGGCACCACCACCGTCCGGCTTTTAATCTAAAACCCTCTAGCTCTCAGAGAGCCCCCCGGGAAGATTGTCCGTCGGGGCCGGGTCGGCCGACTAGCTGCACCCCGCGCCGGAATTCCTCTAGCTCATCGATGCCGAAGAGCGTTGCGCGGCACTTAACTCGAGCTGGAGATGCGCCACGGAGCTCTTTGGAACAGCAATCAGAAGACAACTTGGTAGCGTCCACTTGGTAGCGTCCAAAACCCGGAGAGCGACTGGGAGTCGGCGGTAAACCGTCAACCTGGTTTGTTTGTTTGTTTGGACTCGCGTTCCCAGCTGAGTGCAGCTGGGCGAGGACCGGTCCCGCAGAAGCACACGGGCAGCGCTGAGCAGCGCTTCGGCTGCCGACAATTCACATTCTGTGACTGCAGCTCCTTCGAGGAGCCACGCGGCCTCGGCCACATCCCTCCAAACGAGGGGCACGGCACTAGAAACAGCAAACTCATGCCCAGCAGGGAAGGGGCCCACGGTTCTCGCGGAAGCGATGCCTATCTCACTGGGATTGCACTGAGTATTGATTAAGCCGATCTGAAGCCAGAAACCACATCCTGATCCTTGCTGGTCAACCCCGCCATCAAAGCCTCCCCTGATAGCGAACGGTAAGAGATAAGTTTCGAATGGATATAGATAACAATGAGTTATGTAGAATGTGCGGCCACATCTGGCCTCATGCGTCAATTCATCCGCTCGTGTATTGTCCTCCCTGAATTCATGTCTCCATATCTCACGTCCCAAGGCAGCAGGCCTCAGATTGAAACACGCAGCGAGCTCAAAGGTACAATCAATCATGGCAGCTGTCCTCTTGCAGTAGCCACGATTCTCACATCTCCATTTCCCCTGTAGCCAGGAGCAGATAAGTAATGAGTCACCCTTGAACTCAGCAGCAAAACCCTCTGAGGATATATCCCACACAGTCGCACGTTCCTGGATCATAGCATAACGTATTGCAAGCTTGGCGGACTCTTTGGGGTCGCACTTGGGGTGCAGAGGGTTGGTCGCGATGTCGACCGCCTCAGTATCGGCCTTCTCTCGAGCCTCAGGGGAGCCTCGAGGCCCATTAGGAGAGCCCTTCCAAGACACCACAAAGTAATCATAGACCTTAGTTTTGTTGTATTGTGTAAGGAGTTGCTTCCATACCTCCAAGAACTGAACCCAATCGCCCCGTACAGACCCCCACCACTTTTCCCCAAAGAACTGAATGTAGGGGAACTGCCAAGACCGACCGCCCACAGACACAGGGCCTCCACGAAGCCGCTTGCCCGAACTAGATAAGGCCCTGTTGCCGTGTTGTCGTAGAACCTCTGTTATTGTGTCGCGAGCCGTGACCCATCCAACATTGTACATCATAAGCGCACGTCGGGAGTCTCGAAAGGCCCTCCTCCCCTTTGAGACGGCAAGTGGCTCGTCTCTGAGAGCGTGGGCAGCTCCCTCTCCAGAGGGCATCGGCTGTGAGCGGGCAATGGAACAGGCGACCTGCGAGCAAAGATCCTCCAGCCGCCTCTCCATATCCGTAATCCTCCCCCCCACCTCCATCACAGTCGCTGCAGGTACATCCTCCCCCCGTCTATCCGCAAAGCGAACACGTTTAGCACGTTGAGTCGTTGACCCCTCCACCTCAACCTCCGTCCTTGCCGTCCTGTCCCCCTCCAAAGATAGTAAATATTGCTTCGTGGAGCGCATCATGCCCCAGCTCTTCCAACACAGCATCTGCACAGCCGACGGGAAACCCCCATCGCAGAAGATTGTCCTGACTCGTGTCAGTGCAGCTGGCCGCCATACCTCCCACCCCACATCTCCTGGCTTCCTCCTCCCTGACATTCTCAGAAGACACATACCCTCGAACGCGTGGATAACCCTCACACACTCACTGTCAATCGCGATGGCCTCTGCTGCATATAAAAGACGGCTCTGCACAGTCGATTGATATCGACGAAACTTCTTCACCAGAGGCAGCGCCCTGCACGTAAAATACTGCACCTGCGCAAAGAATGCCCTTCGGGCCTGCTGGACGCGCTCCTGCACATCCGTGTGGATAGAAGTGAAACTTCTGGGAATCTGATACCCCAGCACATTCAAACTCTCAACATGCTTGAAAGGTACAATCCGCGAGCCAATCTGAACCGTGACCGCATCAGTGTACTGAGTACCACACACCATCATCTCTAGACCCCCCTCCTTCCACTCCATCCCCCAATCCCTGAGAGCAGTAGTGAAGGCAGTGGCCGCTACCTGCGCCTCCGACGCTGACTTGGCGGCCAGAAAAAATATTGTCAGCCCAGAGAGCATGATTCCAACGTGCATACCGACAATGATCATCATGGCATGGCATCTCGACTCCGACACCGCGCTGATCCAGGCGAGCAATCACATCACGCCACATAGCAATAGTGACAATAGTAAACGCGATAGGTGATTCGGTACCCCCAGTACGGAGCGACCTATCCCACTGCACATTGGGGATTGTCACTACTTCAAACAGCACCGTGCATGAAGTAGATGAGAGAGGCTCCAATAACGCATACTGTAACCGTGCACTGATCCCAAGGGCCGTCATCGCTCTCGGGACTGTCGGCAACGTCACAGCATCGAACGCCCGCTCGATGTCACAGCTGAGGAGCCACGCCGTTTGATCTCGCCCCCATGTGGAAGCATGTTGTGCAATACATTTCATGGCCGATGAAATCTCCCAGCAACGTCGTCCGCTGGTAAAACCGTAAACCGCCATATCACTCATGAAGGGTTCCACACATCGTTCCAGTAAAACCGTCACACACGTGAGATACCACTTGGCCAAGGTATTTCCGACAAGCAGGTTC